CTCTAAAATAGATTAGGTATTGAAAACAACCGGGTCTCGACAACGTCTATAAAAATTAAATTTGGATAATATGCTGCATAATAAATACCTTGTAAAAAAATTACCATCACTGGAGTGAAACTAATGAAAACTATATTTTTAATTATATAATTGAGCTATAAAATTGGTGAAAAATCAAAAATTCATTATTTACTGTAAATAATAATTTTCCAGAATATCGATTATTTCCAATTATTTATTCTCGACGTACTTTATTCAATCAAACTAAATGTGATTTTCCTGATACGTGGAAATTAAAAAACGTGAATTTATTTTCGGAATCCATACATTTCACATCAATGTGTGTAATATTGTTGGGTGGGAATTTTTCTTGATTTTATTCCAATAGGATATTTTTTCGTTGAACGATTTCGTATAGAAAGTACTATAAAGTAGCAATTCTCAAATAATTGTTGTAGGTACATTTTATTTGAAAAATTACCTACAGATTTGTTCTTTCTAACAAAATGTAATAGGAATTCCGTGATAGTAGTATATAAGTAACAACACACGCATTTAGTATGCTATTTGAAAATCGAGTTCAGTACAATACTTAATTATCGTTTAAAATACGGTCGAACGTGCACAAAATGTCTTGGACTTTGACTTAATATTAATAGAGTATATGCAGCGTGCAATTTATTTGTGAACCTCGGGCGGTTATAATCGTGCTGACAACTAACTATATAATAATAAAAATAATACAAACGGAGGTAGTGAGACCGTGGGGTGGAATAAGATAGGTATAGAGAGAGAGTGACTAAGATCATTATAACGAAGAATCTGAAAATCGAATGCGAACAAGACAAGACCACATAATATTATACAAGCTGATCCACCAAGCATGACCAACACCATCTTTTCCTGTAATAAATAATATGTTAAGTTCTAATTTTTGGAATTTTTAAGTATAAACTAAATCATAATGAGTGTTCTTTATTCCTGTGGTGATACAAACTTATTAATTTTCAAAAATAAACAGCCTTTTTTTCTGCAAGCTGTTAAGCCAAAGACTTTTTAAAATTTCAATGCTTAAAAATCAAAATTCAAGTGAGTAGTTTTTGAGTTACTTAATTTTGTGTTCTAAGGGTAGTGGGTACCTAATAGGTCTATGTTAATAAGTTTGGTAGCTATTGCAAGGGCTATGATGATATGAAAATTATAGTAATAAATATTTATCAACATAGGTAAGTAGGTACCTAAGTATTAACATATTATTATGATTTGTAAAAACTGTCCGATTATAATATATTGAACTAGATTAAATATATTACATTAATTTTATATTTTTGTAAAACCATTTTTAAAGACTACTAAATACTTAATACCAAGACTTGTACATTGTGTACATATATTTTAATAACTTGGAAACTAGGTTGGTACTCTATGAATTTTGACATTTTAAAAGAAATCATCTGCTTAAAAATTGACAGTAAACAATGTTGGTTGTCTTAGAAAAAAAATTGTTTGTATCACTCCTAAAATAGTATAAAAAAATCTAGGTATTTTTGAAAATACGGTCTATAGGTACCTATACTATACTTGACTATACTTGAAAATTCTAAAAATGCAGAATTAAAATGAACCAAAGGGAAAACATTTTGCTGAACCCTGTATAATAATAATATAGCGGACAGGTGTGTCTGTCGGCGAATGGGAATGATATGAACCGAACGTTTTTATCTCCGTTCAGGCCAAAGTCTGGAGCCCCATTAATAATAATAACAAAAAATAATGATAAAAAGTAGGCAATGACAACAACGTATCGGCCACCATCAGCTGTAAAAGGTACCCAACAGCTATAATAATAATAATAATAATAATAATACGAGCGGAAAATCACGCGCGCGCGCCCGCCCGCTTTCGAATCTGTGTGAAGACAGTGACTGATATACGAAAACACAAAGATATTGATAACATATTTCGGTTGACAGCTCCCTCCACGTTATAACCGCGAGTTGTATCTATACATAGCTATAATATTATCGTCCACTCAAGAGTCGCAGGTACGTCGTTATATTAATAATAATAATATTATTATTATCATTACCCTGGTAGTGGTTGTCGCTAGAGGATCACGGATTGAAATCTTTATAATAATAATATGTTTAGTCGGTTCGCAGTCGACAGTACAATAATAATATTGTATTGTTATTAATGATGTGCAGTGTTCGAATGACGGCACACGCGAGCGAGTTTCAACGATCGAAACAACGTCATCGTGGTATCGTACACTACATTATAATGTACGTTTAATGTGTAACGTTTATTATTATTATTATTATTATTATTATTAAGGCTTGTTAGGTAAAACCGATAAAATATGCACATCAAAATCTAAGATAATGCGAAAAAAAATTGTAACTTTTTTATTATTATAGTTACAGGAAATTACCCGTTTCTGTCAAAATTGAAATAAATACTGGCATAATAATACGTCATCGTAGCATAATATCTATTAGGTACCATTTACCTGGCCATAACAAAAACACAACTATTAAAACTTTTTGTCATAGTGGAAACATTTGATTTTTGCTAATTTGTAAAAATGAAAAATAAAATACCTATAATTGAGTATAAAATAGATAAGGTCATAAAATACATTTTTAGAACGCCTTAATGTAAGTATCTACATACAAATATTAAAAAGTATGCACTTTTCCACTAAATTGACTAAAAATATGCATTATAAATTATTGTCATTTTCAATCTCGTTAATCGTTATTGGTTTTTAGCTCTGTCTGCTATTATACCTATATACATAATACAGAAAAATATGCAACTCTTGGTTCCTATAACCTCCATGCCCTAATTATTATTATGATTTCGAGAAAGGAGACGGATCTCTGGGATCATTGCTTTTCATGGCGAAAGTTCGAAAGATTGCATTCATCGGCAGACGTAGAATATATTGTTATTTTATCGTCAAAACGGGGTGACGTACAAGAAAATATTACGCTATCGTTTGATTTTGAATCAATAGAGCTGCACGTTTTAGCATCAGGAGATCTGCCTTGTCGTAGATATAAAAATATAAAATAAAATATTATGTCGTCGAGAAAACGGTCTGACCGAAAGTGGTGACCACCTGCACAGTGAACACTCGATAATATTACCAGTGTTTTTCTTCATTATTACCGAAGTCCGAGCAGGCGACACGTCGACCATTCGGGCAGTTCTCCCGGTTGGACGTGTTGAACTTGTAAACGATTCAAACGATGTTTAATATTATGGTTTGTTCAGTGTACCGAACGATAGTATCGTAGGCTGGTCGTGTTTTACATAATACAATAATAATAATAATAATATATACCGAAACGGAAATATTATAGGGCCGACGTTCGGTCGGAGGACGCGCGCGTGTCCAGACTCCGGATCGCCGCAAACGTACGTACATAGAATAATAGTTAATAATATCGCGATAAATCGTTATTATGCTCTTTGTGTATAATTTATACAAATGTTTATAATATACGTTCTTGTTACAGCTATTATTATAACGTATAGCGTGGGCGGCGACGGACGATGCGCGCGCATCGAAACACGCCGATTTCGCCTCGCGTTGTAGGACTGGTAAAACACACACACACACACACACACTAAACAATAAAGGAAATGCGTCAGCTACGCGTGTCACGAGCGTGGAAACGAGTTTCTAAAAAAGTCTTTGTGCGCAATGCCGTCTATCACACTACAGTTGTCGCCACTGCCGCCACCGCAACAGTGGCGTCTCTCGTACGCACGTCTCGTGGGCCAGCCGAATCTTTTCTGTTAGTGCTCGTCGAAATTCGTTTGGTCTTTACCCGCTCGCGAAGACCAAACTAATTTTTGAAAAACGCCATGGAATGTCTAAGAGGTGACGCATTTAATGGTAGAAATAGACCAATGAACACTGTTGAGTTGCGTGCATCCAATTTCGTATATTTTGTATTAGTATCGAGTAGTCGGTATATATAAGTAGACACGTTTTGAGTACAAAAACATGGTTCAAAAACAATTTTAATTGAAATAAGACAAGTTATTTGCAGCATAGGACACTGATTTTTAAAACGGTTTTCAAATTTACGTCTATATCATATTATTTTTGAATATTTTGAAATACATTTTTTTGGGATTATTTTAAATTAACTAAAATATCATAGTCCAATGCAACCCGAATAAAGTTTTCCTCGTTCACTACTAACTCTTCTCTAAGTTGTTGATCGTTAAAATGGTTTGTTTTATTTTTCATAGCTACAGATTGTATGAAAACAACTGGGCAGCTACGAATAAATAATATAAAATAACTTTACATCGTGAGCTCTGAGAAAGAAAAAAAAACACAGAATTCGTACTAATAATTATTATAAGTAGATACCTCATACCTATAATATTATTGAGATGGCGACGAAAAAGACAGTAGATATCCGTGATGGATATCGTCTTACCGATAACTATATCCCCCCTTCACCCTTACGCCACCACGTTATCCGAAGCATAATATTATCATTTATGTTTATCCAATGCTTCAATAAAACAGCCACGCGGTGCCCGAATATCCCTTCGTGCAGCAGCTACAACCCAGCGGTGGGCACACGTTTCCCCGTCGGTAAAGTCGTTACGGACATGACAATATTATGATCTTTAAAACGTGTTAGGGTACCTTTTCAGTTTTCATAATACTCTACCGTGTCGATCCTTATCGATATATTGATATAATGATTACATCTCTGATATATTATTACCTTCGCCCAAACGACCACTTCCTGTTACGGGCACCTTTACCTAAGTACATTATGGCGTGCCGTGCATGTGCCAGCTCGTGATGTCCGGACGACCGCGTACCCGGAGACGGACGGATCGCACGCCGATCGGCATTTAAAAATATTATGTAAAATGTTTATAAAAAAATTATATATATGTTTTGTCGATAGTATACATTATTGTTCTGTTGTTGTTTTTGCGTGTTTTTCGCTACACAGGTTCTAGACTGAGGCCGAAGACGCTCCAGGCCGTCGACGTACCAATCATTGACAACAGACAGTGCGAGAGGTGGCACAAGTCCAACGGCATAAACGTTATAATCTACGACGAGATGATGTGCGCCGGTTACCGGGAAGGATCCAAGGATTCGTGCCAAGTGAGTAGCCGGGTTCAGATTTTTACGCCGACAGGTTTTTCTTCGATCTCTTCGGAATTTATTCTCGTTTCGTATTGCCTCCGCGCGACTGCACCGGTTCAAATAACATGATAATAATAATAATAATAATAATAATAATATAATTATATTAATTTCGATCTGTCCTCCGGACGAGCACAGAACGGAATTATTATTATACCAACCCGACTTAACGCTTTCTTCACGCCGGAATTTAATTTTGTGCAAAAAAAAAAAATATTGTAATTCGATTTTCCCAAAACCGTAATCGGTATGATGAAATAATTGACATTTAATAGATAATAATAATAATTATAATTATCTATAATTATTATTATTCGATCAAATAAAAGTCGATCGAATTCTATGAAAAAAAAATAAACACAATATCTGGCGCTAATAAAATATTATCGTCATGTTGACTTATGATATTTTGACGTACAACTGTTATGAAAGCAAACGTCACGTATGATATACCCACTCGACGAGTGTCGAGATCTTTCCGGATGGGTGACTAACGCATTCGGCGATTTTAACGAAGCGGCTTTCTTCCGACACGCTCAATGGAAGTCGTACACTCGTACGTTAACAATTTTCTTCGAGGAAAATCAGGAAAATAATAATAATAATAATATGATACAACATTTATCGTTGGGAAAACAAACCGTGAAAAAAAGATAATATCCACAACTATAATATCGTTCCTATGATATTATGGGTACCTAAATATTATATATTATTCAAACACGCTATCGTTCTTATACCAACCATACATTTCTTGAGGGAGGTTTTATAATAACATAAATTTTTGTTTTGTATGCCTACTTGTGTTCTTGCAGTTTTCTTGTTATATATTATTATTTTTGTTACAAATTATCGCTTGATGTGAATAACCAAATACGGCTCAACAGGAAGTTTTCTGACCATGCCTTAGTTGCACTTGGCCACCTTAAACCTGTGGATGAATACAAAATAATAGTATCCACTTCACGCCTATACTAATTTTTTAGTAAAACTTGAACGATTTTATTAATTTTTGAACGACAAGATACATTTTTAATTTCATAATCCAAAGCAGAAAATTGTTGGTAGAGTTTCGATGTAGAAATATAAGTTTTTACAAATATGGAAGTAGAGTGATACTGGGGTACCATCTACCTATCCCGCGAAAGGTTAGTTCCACTACTTCACCCATCTAAGCTTTTAATATTTATAAGTTATACCTAACTAACTAGTCGTTTGAAGTTTTATTTTCAAGTACCTTTCAATGTATCGCTACCTCGAAAAATATTCTGATTAGGAATTTGAAATTAAAAGTGTATATCGTGGTTGAAAAGAGTAAAATTGTAAAGAATATAATTTTATTTCAATAATGTCGTTTTGCATTGACATCAATAAAATATTATGAAAAAATAATTTTTTCGAACACTTAAATGAATCGCCTTGTAGACGCCTTGTTGTGGTATAAACCATTGATAGCAACAATATATACCTACCAACCTATGTAACTGGGTATATCTCGTATATCAGCTACCTATAGTATAATCAACCGGTATACCACCGGATATACCTATCATAGACCGCGGTAACCATTGTCCGATATACTCGGGAAATGTTGTCTTCCGACCGCTTGCGATAGTCATATAATATCCAACGCATCGTCGACTTACATTGTCGTTTTTTTTCGATTTCCACAGGGCGATTCGGGTGGACCACTGATGCTGGAGAAGACGGGTCGATGGTACCTAATCGGAATCGTGTCGGCCGGTTACTCGTGCGCACAACGCGGTCAGCCCGGCATCTATCACAGGGTGGCTTTGACGGTCGACTGGATATCCTACATAATCAATTCGTCTCAACAATAATAACAAAGGAAATTATACAAATAACAGTATATAGGTACAACATATAGTACCTTACCTACACCATACGCCGTGCGTACCCAAAGTCCCCGACCGACACACACATTGTATATAATAATATTATTGTAAACGGTGCGTACCGATTTTCTGATATTCAAACTATTCATATTTATAGCGATAATAATTTATAATACATATATTGTGATATATTCATATGATATGCGCGACGTACGTTTAGGCACGTTCGTATATTATATGATATATTATATATATTATACATATTATTTTATTTTATTTTACACTATTTATAGATATTTAAGTTATTTTATTTTATTTTATTGGTATATTTTTAATAACGAACCGTCTTGTCCTCAATGCACGTGATATACCGCGGTCGAGGTGATATATTATGTTTTTAAATAATAATTATCATAATATATTATTATCCTCGAAGGTACGAGATCGTTAGCGAGTAGCGACCAAATCTTCTGGCATTTGATCGCTCTCAAACGCCTCGCCGTGCAGGACTCGATGCATTGTTATTATATTATATTATTGTACATATAGAAACGTGTATAGTGATGAATAATTTTACGTGTATAAACTCACAATGTGGCTGTAATAATAGTGTAATTAATTTAATAACAATAATAGAAGGATAAGAGAACACAAAAACCAAAAACCGTATTGTTTTCTTGCATTCTTAATCGGTGCAGTGTAATATTATGCCCATACAATTTTTTTTTTCGAAACTCCTTGTTCCTCGGCTCTTCGTCAATCTCTCCCTTTCTCTCATTGTATAGGTTTCTCATCTCTCTACAGACCGCGACGATGACGACGACGTAATCGCGTTGCTGCTGCTGTTAAAGAAAAAAAAAACATCGAAATAATACCAAAAAAATAAACAAAAAAACCCGTCTACGATATGGGAGTGGTGCCGTATATAATGCTGCTGGAAACAATAACGATCGCGAGTTACACTCTACTACAACGATTGGAATATGGTCTCGTAAATTAATAGATAATAACATCATGTAAAGTCTACAATCACAGTATGTGTGCAATCGTTTTTAAGAGGTTTTATAAGATCAATTTCAATAAGATTTTAAGAAAAATTAAAATTTACTTAAATATATTATCAAAGTGATTAAAAGAGCTGGTTTCATTATAAGACGCCATAACTAATAATGCGTCACTATAGAAATATCCCCCTATTCGCAAATAGGGGGGGAGCTTTAGGGGCTAAGCCCTCCCAAAACATTTCCTACATTTTGTTTTAAGCTTATTCAATATTATCAAAGAAAGGATTTAGCCCCCCAAATCCCAAACTCTAATTGCGTCTATGCGTAGTCTCTACCCCTTGAGAATATTCGTTAAAAACAAAAAATATATTTTTACTTTAATACGACCGTTCTTTTTGAAAATACAGTATTTTATTTAACATACATATTTAAAAATCTAATATTTGCACTGACGACTGACATTTAAGTGTATAATTTGAATTAGACTTGTATGCTTTTTACATGCTTGTTACATTTGAAATAACCAACAATTATTGTAATTATTATCTAATATTTTTGCCCATAATAGATATTTGCCATTTTAAAAATGTTGTACTATGACAAGATAAATCAAATATTGAAACATTTAAACATAACAATATGTACCTATAAAAATGTTCCCAATAAATTTCCGTTCTGGGGAATATTTCAGGGAATCTCCCTATAAATTGAATTTCCGGGAATTTTCACATCAAGGTGAGTCGTAGAAAACAAAACTGACTGCAGATTATGACTGATTTTTCGGAAAATGCGAATTTCAGGTGTTTGAAAAAATAATCCATCTACTGTTATTCCTAATATTATTTAGTATTGTGTAAAAGTATACATAATAATATGTAAGAGGTAATGGTATTATTATAATTCTATACGCATACACCTCTGGACCAGCAGAGCTCACGTGAAAGGTGTTTTATTATCATTGTTTATTTTGTATGTATTCAATGAATGCGAGCGACTTGGAAATGTTTCGTGTGCGACTATCCGAGCACAATTAAACCCGTCCGATTGTCTAATTGGATATCAGGGAAAGTGAATCGTTTTTCTCCTTCTTTTCCTCGTTTTCCAGAACGACGGCGGCACGGCGACGTTCGGGGCTGGGTGGGGGATGATAGTACGTAAAATAAAATACGGTAAAATAAAATAATGTAATATATTATTGTGTAGCATAACACACAAAATTAATGTTAAAGAAACTTTTTTCATACTTTTCCGCGGTGTATTTTTTTTTAACCCGCACGCATTGTTCTCGACTTGATAACGTGTGATTTTTTCGTTTTTAATTTTTGGGTAAACAATTCGTTCAGATATATAAAAAAAAAAATGTATAAAATAATTTTAAGTAAAACGACAAAGAATCTGAGATCGAGTGTGATAAAAATGAAAACACACCGACCATCATGTCATTGAAAAGGCAATAGCGACGGAACATGCACAGGTGTGGTTTAGTTAAATATTTAAATTTTAAAATAAGATCGATAGACGAAAAGAGTAGGTACATGAATGAGACATGTTATTATTTTTATTACCTATGTAATTGTATTCATAATAATATTATAATATTAAATAGCATCAAGCTTTAATAATTCATTAGAATCTAATGTTTAGATTTTATCTATATTATATTAAATGTTAGATGATATACTATGTACCTAATATGGTATGATTTTCGCTTCGATATAAGAAAAAAGAACTGACAAATGAAACAATTTAGATGCAATCGAATAATAGATAGAACGACAATTTAATTAAATAAACGTGTCTAAATGTTTGTGTCTATCGTTTTAACCATACAATAAAATATTTTGTTGGATAAATAGAGAATATTATTATTAAATTATTGTAATAAATATTATTTGATACAATGTTAAAATTTTCAAATTATACACATTAATAATATTTAATAATTATGCTGAATACCTAATGACTGTCTAAAGTACAGTTTTTGTTAATTTAATCATTCTATAAATTATAACTAATTGGTAAGTATCAAGTATATTATAGCAGGCAATTTTTTTTGTCATCTAAACTGCATAATATGGTAAATATTACAATCATTTATAATTATAAAAATTATAAAAAAATAATATTACATTATAGGTAGATAATTTACAGGTACATTATAGGTACCTGCAGGTTAACCTAACCTAACCTATATATTATATTAACATTTTTACTTTTTCAAATAAGTTAGTTCTAACTCATGTGAGCACTTGTTTGAATAATATATGTTATAAAGCTATTATTTTATAGTTGAGCTCCATTTGGCTACTTATTTTTTTTAGATGACCAAAGAAACTCTTTGTTTGAATTTTAATAAGTTATTTTTATGGTCAGAGTGCAAGTTTAAGTACACCTATATATCTTTTTGTCTTTTTTATGGATGCTATAATAATACTAATAAGAAAACAACAAATTAATACACTATAGTCTACAACATACAGAGTACCTACTCTTATATAATTTTAAATTTATTGTAACGAAAATATCGAAAGAAAAATATTTTTTAGTTTTGCTTTAAGTATATTACAATTATATTATAATATTGTACTGACATATTTGTTAGGTAGAATTGTTCAATTTTAACAACAGCAGATCGATTTTTGAGAATTAATAACTTATAGCTATTACACTCTACAGAATATGTACCTACTAGGATATCCATTTTAAATATTCATCGTATTTCCCGGGAAGATTAATGATCCGATTGACATCTTATGCATTATTATAATTTAAACAAGTCAAAAAAACAAAATACAAGGTCGCTAATTTGTATTAGATAGTTATCGAGTTCATCAACGTTGCACCCAACGACAATGATATCATAATAATGTATAGGACATGGGTGTAGAACTGTAGACTCCCGCAGTGTGTAACCTCTGCAGACTGTGGAGCTCTCGACATTTGTTCATGTCATTGAGTAATTTTAGAGTAAAAAATAACAAAAAATTACAAAAAATAACCATTAAAAAAATTTTTGAAAATAATATTTTCGAGAGCAAGACACGTGGATTTGTCTTAATATTGTTGTATCAAAACAATTTAATATTAAATATTTATAAATTTTATATTAACACAATATTTTGAAAGTCTAATATAAAAAAAAAAGGTGGGTAAGTGGATGTCGCTCTGCTGTACAGTAGGTTACAAGTGGGTCACTGTATAATGGATGGTATTAAATTTGAATCCAATGATACAATATCATTGTATAAGAAAAACGATTCTGAGCGAAGACGGTATGTCAGTCTAGGTTTAAGACATATTATATACATATCTATGGTATTAAAAAAAAAAATTGACCTATAATAAATTCCAAATTAATCATATCACAATATCCATTAGGTACTTATAACACGTTATACATCAATAACAAACCCTGATACTATCATAGATATATAATATAGTGTACTTTAGAAGTTTCAAGTACCCACGAATAGTATTATACACTCACAACAAAATAACTAAAATAGGTATGCTAGGTTTTTGATTATGTAATTTCGTCCCAAATTTGAACTTAAAATGTCTGTAAAAAATAACTGTGCTCATATATTTTTCAGATTTTTTGGCTACAGTATGAACTATTTATGAGAATCTTTTTTTTAAATGTTCAATCCTTAGCTATAAAAACTGAACATTTTATAATTTATTAATTACGATGATTGATAATTTTCCAATAAACATACAAAACTACTAAATATGAATATATTTATTATTTAATATAACTATAATATTAATAATATTAAATTATGTTATAGGAAAAAACACAGCAGTTGCATGGAGAGTGTGGAAATCCCAGCCCATTTCATGACTATTTCCTATCCCTGCCCTAAGGGTAGGAAATATTCTAATAGTGTTTAAAAAAAATAAAATTAAAAACCTACCTAATAATAAGAGTAATAATAATATTCATTTCAGTTGTAATATCCTATAAATTATTTATTTCAG